TAGTTACAACATGAATATTAATGTCGTTACACTGTAACATCACTTATACTGTTATGTATAGTTACTCTGATGGTAATTTAAATTAAAGTTGGTTTTTTTGAGACATATCAGTTATCATAGTCATGACAAGTCAGTTGTCATGAAGTTCCAGTGTAAGCCAGACCAGAAAATATCATATCATAACCTTATTTTAGCAAAAATCTTCGTTATTTGATTCAGGTGTTATGACTTCATATATTGACTAACCTGGCAATATTGACTAAAGCCATTTCTGACATGTGTTGCTATATATCTTTATAAATGTTTGTGTATGTTTACGTTAGTTGTTAGTTAGTTATACTGATGTCATGCAACCATATCAACACTACCCTTAACCATTACTGTGATAAATACTTTCACATGCATGTAGATATTCAGTGATGTCTGTATTTCACATACAAGCCCTCTTGAGGCTCGCCTATTTTTTTTCGTTAAGACTCAGTTTTACACAGCCTACTATGTCCAACCCAGTCTTACAGAAAAAAAATTTACAATATTTGCAGCCTCTTCTATAGGATGAATTTTTTTTTAAATATATTGCACGTAGCCCACTTTATGCATAGATTTTGTGTTTTTCATGACATACTGTAGGACTTACCAGGCTCATGAAACTTCTTCTCTTCTCTGCATGACAAAATGCAGATAGTTTATACACAAACATATATATATAATTTCTGCATTTTGAAAATACCTCCATTACTGGACTGTGTTACCATGAGATTTGCAAGCATGATTGTAAGGTGTGTTTATATAGAGATTAAAGGGTTTATTATACAGGGTGTATAAGAAGTCTCCATACGTAGAGGAAATTAACACTTTTTAAATCTTTCATACTTTTTCATACTTAGTTTATATATATATATATATATATATATATATATATATATATATATATATATATATATATATATATATATATATATATATATATACATATATATGTATAAAAGACAGCCTTTAAGAATGCCTTTGACAAAAGAAGAACGTATTGAAATCATTCTCATGGCAGGATCGGGAAGCTGTCACAAGGTTGCGATGGACATGCAATTACATGTATAACACCAGTTAACACAAGTTCATCATGAGTGGGACAGACAACTATGTGTGTGTTTACAAAGAAATGACAATCATGCAGAGGATGTTTCGTAAATAAAGTTACATTTTGGTAAAATGTGTTAATTTCCCCTATGTATGGAGACTTTTGGGACACCCTGTTTATCGATCTTATACAAAGAGTGTAGTGGTAGAGGTGGGCTTGGTTAAATTACTTTGGGGCAGAACGTGGCATATAGAGTGAAAGTTCTATGTAACGTATGCTTGTGACAGAATGTTGATATTCAGCGTATAAAAGGTGCTGCAAATAAATTAAGAACATTTTTTTCCGTGAGACTGGGTTGTTTATGTCCCTTTGAATTTGACGTGATCTTAAAGCACCTTTGCCATTTTAAAACCTCGAATAACAAATGCCAAAGTCCTCACTTCCTGGCACTTCGATTAAAGCTTTCCATTCACAACTGATGCATTAGGAGTTTGCCGTATCCATTTTGTAGAGTTCAACTAATAAAACTGTGACAGATTAAGCATTGCCACCTCTCAAATCCAGGGATCTGAGTTCAGTCATGAACTCCGGCTACTGTCTGTGCAGAGTTTCACATGTTCTCTCCTCTGTGTCTGCATGGGTTTCCTCCGGGTGCTCCAGTTTCTTCCTCTCTCCCCAAAACAGGCTGTTAGGTGGATTGACTACTGTTAATTGCCCCTAGGTATGAATGAGTGTGTGAATGTGTGTGCGAATGTGTGTGCATGGCATTTGGGTGTATTCCTGCCTCACTCCCAGTGTTCCCAGGATTGACTCAGGGTTCACCACAACCCTGATCAGCGTAGAGCGGTTACTGAAGTTGAATGAATGAACGAATGCGAGTAAGTGATTACTAATCTGAGTAAAATACTTGGAAGTCTGATATCTTGACATTCAGACTAAAGTGTGATATTTAGAGAGACCCCTGAAACCAAAGAGAAGTGAAAGATTGAAGTTCTTGCTCTAGTTAAGGAGAAGAAATGCTCAACAGTGAAGCCTTACCCACAGTGAATTCATTATATATATATATATATATATATATATATATATATATATATATATATATATATATATATATATATATATATATATATATATATATATATATATATATATATATATATATATATATATATATATATAT